GTCTCTCAGGGAATCAACAGGGTGGAGCAAACAGCTATAGCTGATCCTCAGCCCTGTCCTAGGAGACCCCCAGGTCTCAGTGTCCCATCTCAGTGTCCTGCGGTAATAGCTGCCAGCACCTTTGAGAGAAAGCCGCCCTCGAGTTCCGCCCGCTGCTAGACAGTCCAGCTTCTCCCTGTAACTGGAGTTCAGAGCAGTCAGGAGCTTGAGACTCCCTCCTGATGGAGCAAACAGCTATAGCTGATCCTCAGCCCTGTCCTAGGAGACCCCCAGGTCTCAGTGTCCCATCTCAGTGTCCTGCGGTAATAGCTGCCAGCACCTTTGAGAGAAAGCCGCCCTCGAGTTCCGCCCGCTGCTAGACAGTCCAGCTTCTCCCTGTAACTGGAGTTCAGAGCAGTCAGGAGCTTGAGACTCCCTCCTGATTGAAAAAGACACCTGTGTCCTCCGTTGCCAGCCCTTTCCGAGCGTGCGCCTCCGTACCTCCGCACTTTCCGCACCTCCTCTGAGTCTCAGTGTGCTTTTCTGTTTCCTTCTAGTTGTAGAATTTCCACTCAACCAGCCTTCCTGTGGTTCTGGATGATGTCTGTTTTGTCTTTTAGTTGTAATTTTGAAGTGGTTGTGCAAGGCAGCAATTTCAGGTGTTTACCTATGCCGCCATCTTGGTTTCTCTCAAGAATGAATTACTTTTGTTTTTTTCTGCAGCTTAGGGGCTCTATGAGGTTGGGAAAATAAGTTTATCCTTATATCTAATATAATTCTTTTTGAAGAGATAGAACACCCCCTCCCCCCCCGCTTTTTTAAATTTCCCTGAATTGCTTTTGATTGTTGCAAATTTTCCTAAGTTCAAGAATTTTTACGTGCAATGTTTGCTGCCAGGTAGGCTATTAGTCTCCAATTGAATTATATGAGCACATGCTATGGATTCCATACCAGCCCAATTAATGAATTCAATTAATGTTGATAGCAGCTTTGGAAAAATGTCAAATTTTTATACTTATTCTTGAGTTTGGTAGATTTTGTGTGTGTGTGTGTGTGTGAAAGGAAACATAGAACAGTGGTCAATATAGCACTGATACTGGAACAGAACTGTCAGGTCCAAATCCTTGCTTTGTACATATTTTTTGTTTGATCTTAGGCAAGTTACTGAACTGCTCTATGCCTCAATTTCTTTATGTTCATAATAATGGTATCTAATATGGTTGTTATGAAGATGAAATGATGACGTTGGTGAAGTGCTTAGATCAGTGCATGCATTTAAGTACCACATGTGCATTTTTTTTGTCATCTTTGCACCATCTATTTTTATTCTTGGGAAAGGCTAGTACTGGGGAGATAGGGTGTCCATTTGGTTCTAAAAGTTCCTCATCAATAGCTGCCTGGTTCTTAACAAAAGTTTTTTTTTCTCCCAGCATGCATTATGATGTTTTCTTCCTTATATTTTATTATAGGAAAAATATTTAAGGCTATTGTTTGCAAAATTACCTTTTGGTTAAAACTGGTTTGGTTGAATATGGATGTTTAGAGACCATTTGTTGAAGAAAGTTTTAAATTTTGCTCTACTTAGATTTTTTTCTCCCATAAACTTTGTTTGGTTCCAGTGTATGAAATTCACCCCCACTTCCATTGTTGTTTGCACTTCAAGTTATTGAACTGTAAAGCGTAGATAGTGTCTAATAACTTCTAGAGAGGTTGTAAGTAAAGGCTACTTATTTAAAATAAAACATTCAGAAAATAGGGGCACCTACAACTGTTTATCAGGCCAGATCTAGATCTATTCACCAGCAGTTTTTAAAAAATATATATTTTTATTGATTTCAGAGAGGTGGGGAGAGAGAGAGAGAGAGAGAGAGAGAGAGAAACATCAATGATGAGAGAGGATCATTGACTGGCTGCCTCTTGCACGGCTCCCTACTTAGAATTGAGCCTGCAAACTAGGCATGTGCCCTGACTGGGAATCTCACTGTGGCCTCCTGGTTCATAGGTCAACGCTTAAACACTGAGCCATGTTGGCCAGGCCACCAACAGTTTTTAAAAAAATTTTATTGAATTTATTGGGGGGACATTGGTTAATAAAATTGTATAGGTTTCAGGTATAAAATTCTATAATACATCATCTGTATATTGTATTGTATGTTCACCAAAGTCATGTCTGCTTCCATCACCATTTACCCTCCCCCCACCTTTACCCTCTTCTACTTCCCCAACCTTCTTCCCCTCTGGTAATCATCATACTGTTGTTTGTTTCTCCAGCAGTTTGTTTTTTAAATAGTACATGTTACCTTTATAATAGAATGAATGACAGGCTTCTGACACGAGTGGAGCATATTGGTTGATTGCCAAGAGATTACCCAGCAATGATAGAATATTAATCATTTGGGAGTTATAACAGGCACGGAAGTTAATATTAAAAAAGTGAATTTGACAAATGATTTTTCATTTGGATATTTTGATAAATTGAGTAAATGGGTTTGATATATTACTTTAGATAACTGTTTGGGAGATCAAATGTAAAAGGCACTAATTATAGAGTTAGTTAATTGCAAAACTTCCCCTGTTGGGTTATATTTTATGTGCTTGATTTTAAATAACTGGCTTTGAGGTGCTTTAAAAATATGTTTTGGGTGTCTATTTTGTGTGTGTGTGTGTGTGTGTTTAATTTTGTAGTTTAGCAAAAAAAAACAAACCAACAACAACAGCAACAACAAAAACCAGACCTCAAAATCTGACTTGAGTTGCTTAAGAAATACTGTTCTACTGTTAAATTGCAGAATCAGGAGCTAAATCAATGTTTGCTGTTTTAAGCCATTAAATCCTTGGGATGATTTTTCACATAGCAAAAGCCATCTGATTACACTAGCATACTTAACATTTCTAAAAATAAACTTGAATTTGTTTGAGGAAAAAGAAGAAATATTTCTAAATATATGTATTTTCAAGAAGGCAATATATTGCTCTGAATTTTCTTCTGAATACTTAGTTTCTAAGTTTATGCTTTTCCTTTTCCCATACCAATATTAAGCTCTTTGTAAGAGGACTGACCTTTAGATTGTTATAATTCTTCAACCTGAAGTTATTAGATACTAAGGGAGACAAATGTACTGAACTTTCAAATGTAATATGTTGGATTACTAACAATAGACCTAATTGATAAAAGTGATTTAATATATGTTCTGTTAATAGCTAAACCTCCAAAGCCCCTAATCTCCCATGGAAATATTGCTTTGTAGAATAAAATCCAGTGAGAAGTTCTGGGATTCCAGAGTGAATTTGTACATTCCTTAGGGGCATTTTTGCAAGGGAGGTTGTTGTGCTTTAAAGGTAGTTGATAAGAGACCTGCACCACCAACCCCAGACCTGCACCACCAACCACCATCGTGCATTAGTCTATAGAAGGTATTTGGGTGTACGTATTCCTGTACCACTCGGTACCACCATTTAGCCAAGGGAAGTTTCTGACCATTTGCAGCATACATTATAAATCAGGATGTCACTAACAGACAATCAGATTTGAACATTCCATGAACAAAGTAGCCTATATCCCCTAGGAATAGATCACTTAACTATGTTTATGTCATGCTGTTGATATGCCTGCATTTGCACAAGTCAGGATAGCACATTGTTTATTTATTTTAGGAGTAGGCAATTGATCTGTATATTTACCTGATTTGGGGTTAATGAGCCCAAAATTGAAATGGGTAATTTAGCATGATTGCTTAAGTACATGGGGGAAAATGCAATTATTCTTCCAAATCCCAAATTACTTCTCTCTCACCTTGGGTTTGTGAAAGAATAATTTTGAGTCTTCTCCAAGTTGGGCTTGTGTTGGCTGCACTCTAAAAAATTTTCTACTTGGCACATCATGCATGAGGAGATTACTGGTCAGATATGTGGGGAAGCTCAGAGGATTTCCAACTGCCAAATTAGTCCCCTGGGGAGACCCAGAAAAAGCACAGGATATATTGGTTAAATGAAATGAACTTGTTTAAGTTACACTCTCTCTGGTATCAACACGGGATAATCACGGCCACTTGGAAATGTGGCAGCATTTGGTGCCAAGTTTGTGCACTCTGGTTGGTGGAAGAAATATTTTTGTATTTTTTTTAAACTTTTTTTTGTAGAGGTGAGATTATAGACCTGGCATCTTACAAATTCCTTAAAAAAATAAAAGCTCTTGATCTGAATCTAAGAATTAGGGGACCATAAATTGCTCTAGGTGATATAATAATAAAAGGCACTTTAATGAAAATATATGATGGAGAACTGAAAAAAGCACAGTGAAGCAATGAAAAGTTACTCATGATGTTTGATGTTATCAATCAACGATAACCACTGTCCACACTGGTCTTTTTTATGCTTCTTGCCCACCTCCATATATGACTCTGTTATAGGCAAAATTTTGCATCTTTGTCTTTGCTACATTATATTACAAATATTTCTCCTAAACATTTAACAGTCCTTCATAATCATTTTAATGAGTTCCTAAAATATCAGTATATAGATATTTTCCTATCACTGGACATTTATTTTCCTATCATTGGACATTTAGGAGGTTTTCAATTTTCTTTATTATAAGTAATAAAGTGATATAAATCTCTAGTTCCTTAGAAAAAATACCTAGAAGTAAAAGTACTAAGTTACAGGATAAGCACTTTAAAAAAGCAAGATACATGTTGTGAATTGCTTTCCAGATATACTCTAGTCATCAGCCATGTATAAAAATGACCTTTCTGCAGACCCTAAGACCGAGGATATAATCATTATAAAAATGTTTTCCTAATTTTATAAGATAGCATATTCCTTTGATTACTAATTAGTGAATGATTTTTCATCATTATTAAAAAAATCTGTATTTCTTCTTTGAAATATCTGTGTGGCATCGTTGTTTTTTTTCAATTGGTTTTCTGTTGTTTGTGGGATTGCAGAATGTAACATTGAGGATTTCGGC